TATAAACTAAATATATGCATGTACACACAGATATATATATGTGTTTTATATATAATACACACACACACACATCCCCACCCCCAAATCCTCTTGTAAGTTGTATTTGTTTATGTATAGAAAAAGAATGCAATTTAGAGTGGGAGAGAAACTTTATTTTTTTAGAGAAACTTCTTTTTCACTCATGTCTTTTTGAACTGTATGACCACCATACATCAGCTCTATTCTAGAAGATCTTTTCTACAGGACCATTTGTGCAAGTACAGAAAAAAAAATATACAAAACTGTTTACTGTTAACATGAAAATGGAAAACTATGAAAAGATACATGTTAAATAAAAAGTTAAAAACAGTTATAATTAGTATTTTTTTAAAATACAGAAGACACTAGCCTGACAACAAACATACATATTTTCATCTTTCTCTGTAAAAAAAATTCTGGAAGTAGTATTTATTCACAGTTTCCTCACTCTTGTGTGTGTGTGTGCTGATGACTACAGAAACTTGAAACGCAAGCAAAAGGGTAACGTACTTTCTAAGCTTCTGCATTGCAAGACTGTTTTGTTTTATTTTTAATTGAGCACTGATTTCCAAAATTTATAAAGACTCAAAACAAAATATTTTAAAATTCAAATTAGTAGTATTCAGTGTACAGGGTCACTTTACTGGATGTGAACGTGTAGTGGTTTTTGAACTGGTCTTCCGCCTACTCACCTTTTTCCGCGCTTCAGACTTCTGGAAGCACTCATGCTGTATGAAAGTAGCTGCCGCACAAATCCTGGACAGGGGCGTGTGATCGGCATCAAGCAAGCTGACTGCCCGCTCCAGAGTCATCTCCATGTCCGCATTCCTAGGCAAACAGTCACAGATTCAGCGCATTATCAAGCCTGAGATCTAGAGATGACTTAACTCGTGTTGGGAAATACCAGACTTATGGCTTCGCAGCTAAAATAAAGCCTGGTACCAATTTGGAGATGATGAGTAAAAGCTAGTATCAGAAATACTACAGCTCTGGTGAGATTGTAGATGTCATTCAATTGAACAGAATCACAAAATGCATAAAAAAAAAGGACTCATCTCTTTTTAAGATAAATATATGAAGCCTGATAATTATACTTATCAAAAAGTGCCATTAAAGCATAATAAAGCTTTAGATAAAATAAATTCATTTACAAAATAAAAACATTCTTATTCTAATAATGTCACATCTGTAGAAGAAATAACTGCTCTTCAAAAATCACTACTTAATTTCCTAAAAACAACTTATAATGTATTATTTCACCTTAAAATGGATTTTTAAAATAAATACTCATTTAATGCATAGGATAGAATTTAACAATGAAAGTCAGAAAAACTAAGTGTTGTTAAAACCCAGCTAACTGGTATAACCGAAATACATTAGAAAAGAAAATGATTACATGAAATTTTAACCACATCTTTGCTTTTTTCTTCTGTTAGTGGCATTATTTACTTTTGTCAAACTGTAAATGCTTCACCAAAAATTGGTGTTACCTTTTCCATCACTAAAAATAACAAATATCTACCTTAGATTCAAACCCCTAGAGATACACTGTCTTTATCAGTGCAACTGACTGTGGACTATCCCACCCGAGCTTCCTATACTCTCCAAAGAGAGATCACTGTTTCTACTCATCATAACCCGTCTCTGGTGAATACCAGTTAACACTGCAAGTAATTCTCTTTTTATAATAATGAGATTATATATGACTTCTTCTTTTGTGATTGAATTAATTTTATACAGCAAAATGTCCTGCAGATTCATTCATTCGGTATTTTAAGAACTCATCATTTTTCTTTATAGCTGCGTATTTCACTGTGATGGTATAGCACATTTCATTCACTCATTGTATCATCTTATACCTGAGGAGTTAAATTTGTGAAAAATGTACCTATTACCATTATGACCAGCCATTTTTACTTAATATAAATTCTTTTTAGAAAATGTTGTTAGGTGCTATTGAGTCAAATATGTCCTATAGAGACCCTATGAGCAACAAGTCTGAAACTCATCCTATCCTGTGCGGTCCTCACATTCTCAGACACACTCAAGTCCTTTGCTGCCATCATTGTATCAATTCATCTGAAGAGGGTCTTCCTCTCTTTCACCTACCCTCTACCTTTCCAAGAATGGGAAACAAAGTTTTATAATCTTTGCCTTCAAGGAACACTCTAGCCACACCTTCTCAAAGACCTGTCTGTTCTCTTGGTCGTCCATGGGATCTTCAGTGCTCCTCTCCAACACCACAGCTCACAGACATCAATTTTTCTTCTGTCATCCTTATTCATTGTCCATCTCTCAGATGCACAAGTGATCAAAAAGATAATGGCTTGACTTAAGTGCACCTTAGTCCTCAAACTGATATCATTACTCCTCAATAATATGGAGAGGTCCTTCACTGCAGACTTTCCCAGTACAATGCATGTCTTGGTCTCTTGACTTCTGGCACTAAGGGTGTTCACTGTGGATCTAAGTAGGAACCACGTTGTTGACAGTTTCAATCTTTTCTTGTTGTTGGTTATCGGTCCAGGAGTGAGAATTTTTGATTTCTTGATACTGAGATGCAATCCATATGGAAGGCTGTATTCTTTGCTCATTTCCAACAAGTGCTTCAAGTCCTTCTCACTTTCAGCAAACAAGGTTGTGTCATCTGCATAACACAGACTATTGCGGAGTCATCCTTTGATCCTGATGTCACATTCTTCTTCACAGAGCCAGCTTCTTGAATAATTTGTTCAAGATACAGATTGAATAAGTATGGAGAAAAGAAACAACCTTGACACACACTTTTCTTAATTTTAAACCATGTAATAATAATTGTTTCCTTGTTCTGTTTGCACAACAGCCTCTTTAAGTTTTGTATGAGCAAATCAAGTATTTTGACATTCCTATTCTTCTTAATGTTAGCCATAACTTGTTGTGAACCACACAGCTAAATATCTTTGCATAGTCAATAAAGCACAAATACACATTCTTCTGGTTTTCTTTGCTTTCAGCCAAGAACCTGACAGTGATATCCCTGATGCCATGGCCTGTTCTAAATTTCATTTGAACTTCTTGCAGTTCCTTGTCTATGTACTGTTCTAGCCATGTTGGAATGATCTTCAGCAATATTTTGCTTGCATGTGATATTATATTGTTTGATAACTTCCACATTCTGTTGGCTCATCTTTCTTGAGGTGGGAATATTTCACATTCATAAAATCCAATGCTTTTACAAAGATAATGAAACCCTAAGTCTTAATGACAGTGATAATGTTGTCTTTATTATCCATCTCTAGAGTTGTTTTAACTGATGAAAGATCATTTCTTTTTTTTTTTGTGTGTGTGTGCATGTACCGTCAAATCAGATCTGACTGGTACAGGAGGATATTGCGCCTCCTTCTCCGGCAGAGCATCTGGTGGATTCGAACCGTGTTTCTCTGGGATTGCAGTGCAGCTTCTTGCCACTAGGCCACCAGAGCTCCCCGAAAGATCATTTCTAACTTAACAACAATCTTAAGTTTAATGCAGTGGTTTTGTTTTATTTGTTGTTGTTTTTTTGTTTTTTTAAGATTCAACCATTAATCTACCTCATGAGTTGAACATGATTCAGGCAACTGAATTTCCCAATTTTCCAACACCCACTAATAAATTCCATTACCTGACTCCTTTCTTTTCCTGAACATGATTCACAAAGCTCTGCATTTATTCCCAGTGATTCCAATGCTACTTCACTTTATTACCAAAAACAAGTCCGAGGTTGAATGGAGATTTCCTCAATATGAAGGTGTGTACAGATGGCAGAAGGGCAGAAGGTGAGTTTTCTGTTTTGTTACTGTCTCTAACGTCCAGCTCTATAGCACATCTTCTATTCTGACCCCAACCTCGCTTTATTTCCTGTCACCATCAATCTACTTTCTTCTACTTCTCTACACTCTAATTAGAGTTGTCTTCTAATGCTTCTCTAAACACTGTGTGCCCATTCACAAAGTCACACTCTGATTTTTCAGAAAACGTGTTCCTTTTTTCCCTGACAAATTCTTAATCCATTTAAGATTCAACTCAGAGTTATCACTTCTGTGAAATCTTTTCTGCGTCTCCAAAGCCAGACAGAGGTATTTCTTTTATCTTCCATTCTCCTACAGTCTTCCTTCCCACCTTCACTCCCTTTCTCTGGCTTTTTAACCTTCTTTGCCTTCCTTCCCTTCTCATTCACTTCCCAGTGACTAAAGAAAAGTGACCTTGGAAATGAGGTTGAGATACAAGAGAATCAGAAAAGCAGCTGTTTCCTTCCTGAACACATTCCCCAAAAGTGAGTCTTTTCAACCTTCAGTTAACAAGTCAAAACTATGGTTCATTTAAATGAAAACTTAAGAAGCAGCACTACAAAAGATTATTGGTCAGCATATGAAACATTGAAAGTGAAAAAAAAAAAAAATCAAAAGTGGGACTTATTTTCCTGCTCTCAATCCCCAGGAATCAGCTTTCTTGGCAGCTAACACACAGTCCGGCCTGCTGAAGACTAGCTCCCCTGGTATCAGAATATGACTCTGCTTCCGAAGGCCAAGTAAACAGAGAAAACAATGGACAGCTCGATCATGCCTCCGGATGCAATTTCCTCTACCTCACAAAGATTTTAAAGTATGATAAAAGTACTGCTTTAAGAAGATGACTGTGGAACAGTTACGTTTCTAGAAACGGAGACAATATGAGAGTATGAAAAGAGTCTTAACTGAAGCAATAAATTAAAGGGCTGTTAAAATTGAAAACAGAAAGACACAGATGTATAAAAAAATGAATACAAGATGAAAGAATATGTAAAAAATATTAAATAAAAAGAGAAAATCGGGAGGGAAATCAGTAGGACATCTTTTGGTCCTTTAGAACTATGGCCACAAACTTGAATAGGATTCAGTTTCTCCAGAGAACACGCCTCTTCTCTAAATTCCTATTGTTGTCGTTACGTGCCGCCGAGTTGCCTGGGACCCATAGCAACCCTATGTACAGCAGCTCTGAAACCTGCTCTGTCCTGAGCTTGTCTACTGATTTCAACACACCAACCCCCACTGCCCCTGTTTGAACACTATTAATGCACCACAAAATTTATATGTGATATGCTTTTCACTGACCATCTATTAGACCTTTATATACTGTTGTTAAGTTCTGTCAAGTCAGAACTGACTCATAGCTGATTCCCCAGTGGGTTTTCAGAGGCAGAATACTGCTCAACAGGAGACTGCCCCTGTGTCCCCCACAGAGCAACAGGTGGATTTGAACCGCTTATCTTTGACTTGGCACTGCAATTCTTCACCACTAAGCCACCAGAGCTTCCTAGGCCTTTAGAGAGTCTGCTCAATTTTTATCTCTTCAAATGTCTAGCATTCAAGAGGAATCAAATATTAATTTGTTAAACCTCTACTTTCCAAAATGTTTATAAGCAACATCCATAATCCTGTTCTTCATTGTTTTTAACCCTTATCCATCAACCCACTTTAGATTTATAAAAAAAAAAACACAACGGATTTATTATCCTACTAGAAAACACACTCTCTAATATTCTATTTTGGTTTTCTGTGGCACTAGTTACCATGTGATAAGTCATTCTTCTTTTGTAAAAACACTGCTTAATATCTTATGTCATTACATAGATTTGTAGTTTTATCTAGATACTTTATATAGATGCTTTACAGATATGAAAGAACATTCCTTTACATGTGAGAATTTCACAAGAGGGATGAAGCACATAAAAAAAAAGGAGATGGGCAGAGGTTGAAATGGGAACAACAGCTCAAAGTATGTGGTCTTAGAGGACAATCTCTAGGAGAGCTTGAAATGAGTCATAAAGATAACAAAGGAGGGTCAAAAGTTAAACACAGAAGTTGCCTTGATAACTTACTTTTCTCACTATAAGTAATATGTACAGTCCTTTCTCTGTTCCACAGATAGAAAAGTTTTCCCTTTATAAAGACGGGTTAGCTTCCATGATTTCTGGTCTTTAGGAGGGCAATTCAATGTAGCATGTTAATCACAGGGCTGCACAATTCGAGGAGTGGGTGGATTGAAGGAAATAGGAAGGATCTTATGTGAAAAAACAATGTATTCAAACTTTGTAAATAAATCAGAACAAAAAAAGTATAGTAGATTGTTGTTGTTAAGTGTCGTCAAGCCACAGGCGACTCATAGCGACCCTATGAAGGAGAGTCCTCAATGCTTGGGTGCCTTTCATCCTCTCTCCAGGTTCATAGGAATAGTAGATAATGAAACCTATAATTTTAAACTTCTTGACATTAGTGTTATTATTTTCGTAAATATTATTGCTGTTGTGTACTATCAAGTCGGAAGTGACCCACAGTTGACCCTCGGCAGGTTTTCAGAGGCAGCTAATCGCATGGAAGGTGACTATCCATCCTTCTCCTGAAGGGTAGCTGGTGGTCTCGAACCATGTGCCTTTGGTATTGCAATGCATCTTCTTGCCAGTAGGCCATCAGAGCTCTCCAAATATGATTAAGTAGTATAGTAAAATTTACCATCCATCAAAACAATTCAAAATAGTACATATTATATTTCTTTTAGAGTCTGAGTCATAGCAATGAAAACCCAGAAGGCAAAAAAGTAGGGTCTATATTTCTATTTTTCCTTCTTTAATTCCTTAATTCTTTCACCATACATTTATCCAGTGTCTATCACACACCTGGCTATTTTAGGATGGAGATATCTGTAAGAAGCTAAAAATCTAGAGGTTGGGCATACAAGTAAACAACCAGGAACACATCAACCCAGTCTGGAAGTGGTGACAAGGTGGTTAAGGTGACAGGATCCTCACTGCAATGTTTGCAGTTTGACTTCAATAGTTCACAGTTCCACAGGAGAACGACATAGCAGTCTGCATTCACAAGCCTTGAAAACCCTATAGGCTGTTCAACCTTGTCCTACAGGGTGGTTCTGAGTCAGAACTGACTCCAGAACAATGGTTCTTTTATGTGGTCGGTTTTAGGGAAAAGGTAGTACTGGAACTAAATGCAGAATTATGGATCCCCAGGCAAAAACAGAGTTGTATATATAAAAAGCTAGAGGGACTGACATGAAAATGAATACATTCTATTAAGGGAAAGGCATATGGTTCTAAGTGGTTTTCATGCTTGTGTGTTTTGAGATGGTGGTGATGAAGGATAGACAAGAGGAGAAAAAGGTAAGACAGGAGGGATAAGCAGAGATGAAAACACGATGGGCCTTGTACGCCACGCTAAGCAGCATGAATACTTGGTGGAATTTTTGAAGGAGTTTACACGGGCAGCAGAATGATCAGATTTGGGAAGATGATTCTAACAGTCACAGAGGATAGTTCTGTGTGAAGCAAAGCAGAGGCAGAAAGATGTGCAATGAAGACAGGAAGAAGGGCAAACCCCTCAAATCATTACGGGGATAGAAACATGACTTGGTGATGTTCAGGTGTGGAGGGAGGATGCTAGAATGAATCCCAGGTTTGTAAATGGAGGAATTCCAGAGGAGGAGGAGACAGTTTGGAGCAGAGAACAGGCAGGAGATGAAAAGTTTCATTTCCTCCACCTCATTTCTCTTGAGTCTGAAATGATTCCTAGTTGACCCTGCAGTGGATTTTCCAAAGCTGTAAATTGCACTGGAGGTGACTGCCCGTCTTTGTCTGTGGTGCAGCTGCTGGCTTCAGGTTAGCCGTGCAACACTTTATGAACCAGGCCACCAGAGCTCCCCAAATTTAGCTTAGGACCTATTATTTAGTATGTGATATTCTGAAAAGTATTAAGATATAAATGTCAGAGTTCAGTAGAGAAGACAGATCTAAAGATAAATATGTCAAAATCACTGGACAGGCAGAAGAGGAATGTTACGCAGAAGAGGACTGTTAAAAAAAATACGAAGAAGGAACAAGTGGAGGAGCAAAAGGGACCAGAAGATGGTGGTTCCCTAAAAACAAATGCAAAATAATTTCACAAACAGGAATGTCATATGCTGTTGACATCCCTGTTTAAATAAAAGAAATGCTAGAATGTATGTCTGCTTTTGATATAAAAATAATGCCTACGGTTCCAGAGAGGGTAAAAACAAATTGCACTTTGGAGGCCAGAATTTTGAAGCCCTGTCTCACATACTTGGGCACAAGGCCAGGAGGGACCAGTCCTTGGAGAAGGAGATCATGCTTGGAAGGGTGGAGGGACAGCGCAGGAGACGAAGACCCTGGAGGAGATAGATTGACATGGTAACTGGAGTAATGTGGTTAAATGTGTGGGATACAGTCAGACTGTTTCAGAATAGGACTGGGTTCAGAACTGTTATACACAGGGTCACTACGAGTCTCCGATGACTACTTGATGGCACATGACAACAACAGGATGCAAATCAGTTCATTTTGGGGGGGCTATTCGAGTGAAACAGTGGAGATGGACGTCATATTGCAATGGATTGATGAGAAATCAGGAAGTGATAGAACAGCTGCAATAAGTCTGTCTCTCTTTTAAGAAGCTTGAGTTCATAAGGAAGAAGAGAAGAAAGCCTGTTGACGGAAGATGCGAGATGACAGTTTTCTTACTGTTGTAATAATTTTGTTAAAACTGTGCCAACACAAAACCTTGAATATAGGAAGCAGTCAATAAAACTGAAATTATTATTTTAAAATATTCATTATATTTTCCCACTGTAATGAATTGTTGTAGTTATTGTTAGGTGCCATTGAGTTGCCTGCAACTCATAGTGAACAACTCATAGTGTACAACATCCCTAAACTCTGTTCTATCCATGCCAATCTTATTGTCTCTGATACACCTACCCCCATTACCCCAGTCACTGAATCAATCCATCTCATTGAGGGTCTTCTTCTCCTGCGCTGTCCCTCCACCCTCCCAAGCATGACGTCCCTTTCCAAGGACTGGTCTCTCCTCGCAACATGTCCAAAGTGTGTCAGATGAAGCTTCAGAATCCTTGCCTCCAAGGGGCAGCATGTTTAACCCTCTCCAGGATGAAGCTGTTCATTCTCTTAGCAGTCCATGGTATATTCAATACTCTTCTCCAGCACCACAGCTCAAAGGCATTAATTCTCCTAACATCCCTACTCATTGTCCAGCTCTCTGACTGATACCAAGTGACTGCAAAGACTATGGCCTATATCAGGCACACCTTAGTCTCCAGACTGACATCTTTGTTCTTCAGTACTCTGGGGATGTCTTTAACAGCAGACTTTCCCAACACAATATATCTTTTAAATTCCTGGCTGCTGGTGCCAAGAGTGTTGACTGTGGAGTCAAACACTCTAAAGCTGTTTACAATCTCAATCTATTCACCATGCTATTTCTCTTCTTTATAAATATACCTATATTCACAGAATATCTGCTTTCTAAGAAATGGTAGAAGTCAGATGGCAAAATTGGCTTCATAAAAAAACTTTTCCTGGTCTAAAGGAAACTAGGTGTCACAGTATGTGCTGTACCAGGATGCTAACTGACAAGTTGTCAGTTTAAATCTATTAGAAGTTCTGCGGGAGACAGACAGGCAGTCAGTCTCCCCCCATACAGGTTCACAGCCTTGAAAATTCAATGGAGGGTCCCCAAGAGTTGGGCCTAGATGGCAGTGTGTTTTGTTTTAGTATTGCTTCAAGATTTGCCTTGTATCTTTCTGAAAAGTAGTTCTCATCTGTGCCTCCCTTGTCAGTGCAATAGAAATCACTGCACAAATCCACTTAAAGGGATAATGAAATATAATAACTTTCATTAAGCAACTTTTAGAAATCCAACAAAAATATTTTGCTATAATGGCCCTGTGATTACTTCTGGAGATAATGATTTAAAAATTTATCCATTTCTCAACCTTTCCCAACTTTCCTCAACCCATTTACAAAACATGTGTTCCAAGATCAAACTCAAAGAAGGGTTAAGTTCCAAAAATGAAATTAGTCAAGCTATAAAGTAAATAGGAAAGAAAAAGGAATTACTTTTAAAATTCAATTCTTTTTCATAAGCTAGGAGTTGCCAAAAAATACTCTCCAAATTTCTGATTCCGGAATGAAAATAAAGGTCTCAAGTATCAAATTAAGGAAAGAGGCATTTAGAAACCAGTTCCTTTCTTCAGCTCTCAGTAGCTTTTGGATGGTTAGTAGTTATTAAAACAGCATTTGGGGTTCACCGAGACTAAACATTTTGCCTTTTTCCTTCCTTGCCTTCAAGTAAGTACTGAGAAAATGCATGGAATCATCCATTTCTTAGTCTACTTGGAGTCAGCTATCAGACCAGATATTCATATAGTTTAGGAGTAGATCTCCCTCCAGGCAGCTTTTAATCTGAAACAGATGGGCTGAACCGTCACAATTCCCCACAAAGCTGCCATCTGAGCAGGTAGATTGGCCCCTTCCCCTGAGGTAAATGAGCTGATCTGTCAATTAAGCAGCTGTGTATAAAGCCATTATTTTAATCACTTATCTCTGGAAGCCTTTCTCTCCACCCCAGAAGTGCCAGCTCACGCTCTAAGGGCTATGGGAACAGAATGTGCTGGCACCGACTGAACTGCAGATTCAGAAGGGGCCTTACCCAAACTGGGAGTCGGTGAAAGTGCTTCTCTCCGAGAGCAAATTCCCGCTTCCGCCTGCTGCCACCTGGCCAACGGTCATGTGTGTTCTCCTCCCACTGGGATCCACAGCGACACTAGGCCCTGCTTCCCTCAGAGTGCGGGTGCTGTGGAAGGAGCTCTGATGCCAGGAGGACCGAACAGCCCTGTTCTGGTTGACAGGTTGCAAGGGCACCAGTGGCCTCACTTGCCCAGCAGCAGGGCCTGAAGTCAGATAGTTCTCTTTCTCCAAGAGGTTGCCCATGCTGTGACTGGTCCCAGGCCTGGGGTACGTGAGCACTGCTGGGCTGACAGGAACACCATCAAAAACCGTGTTGTTAACAGACCCATACTGGTACTGTCTGTGGTAAGTGTCATAGTGGCGCTGCCTGCTCACAGCATTGGGATGGCTGAAGCCAACAATTTCTGAACGAGCATATCTTGGTGGCATGAGGAGGGTAGATCTCTTGCTTTCCTGGTGCCGCAAGGTGTGCCCAGCCTGGCTTCGTGGGTTGTACTGGTATTCACTGTGAGAGTAGTGAACCCTTTCAGGGCTGCTGTCAGGAGAAATCTCAAGCCTCCTCAGAGGCTGCCTGAAGGACCTCTCTTCCATCGACTTCTGTGAACTATACTGTGCCGCTCCTCTCCCCCAGCGATTTTCATAAGTGGCTGTCGTGCCTGCCTGCACAGTGAGAAAGAAAATGTAAATAAGCCATACATCAGTTCTTCTCTCTGTGGAAGACTAACTACCTACCTCTGTGGACTCAAACATACCAACAATCACAAAGACAGCCTGGGACCTGGAAACGATTCATTCTGTTATCCGTAAGTCATTCATTCATTCTCTTATATATGAGTCATTCACACTGCTGACACACACGAGGGCACCATGAGTCACAGCGGCTTGACAGCAACTAACAGCAACTACTACTCGGGTCTATTAAACAAAACATGTTTCTCTCACTCAAATATGGAGACTGGCCCCATTATAGGTGAAGATTTTTATCAACCAAGACTTGATTTATTTGGGATATATATATATATAAAACACCAAAAAATACACACATATATATATGTGTGTGTGTGTGTCTATATATAGACACACACACACACACACACACACACACACACTGATTTGCTACTGCTTAAAGTTTCCAGATTTCCATGATGTTGACATAAATTTGAGAAGGGAAAAGGTAAACGATAGAAAGAAAAAAAAAAATTAAAGGTAGTTTGAAAATGTTTTCACGGTAGTCTGACAGCTGGGGGTTTTGCTCTGATATCCCACCTGTAGTATATCATAAGTTTTAGGAACAGGTGAACGCCCTGTAGCAAAATCATTTTCAACCAAGTGTAGGTTGTAGACATACTCGGGAACACTGCTGGTGCGATGGAGATTTCCTGCAAACAAGCACATATAAAAATAATTCAGAATAGAAGTAGGCCAATCAACATTTAAAGACAGAACAAGTGTAGGCTGAATTTTTAAGTTTAATAATCAGGCTAATAAAACAAGCATTAGCATTATATTTAGGGTATTTCACTGTTAATTTAACATCCTGGGATGTGGGTGTGGGGGAGAAAATTTTATCACAACATTCTCTACAAATTTTTCAAAATCAAATTAATTTTAAAAGGTTTTGTTTGTTCTTTAAGAAATGAAGATTCACAAAAATCCAAAAGCATTTGGTTGTTATAATTCTGAAGAATTGGTTTAGGTGGTCCATATTAGACAGTTCCGTTTTTCTAGTGAGACCTGGAGAAATCTCTTCCCAGGGCAGGGACTCAGAATCTTCTAGCAGTAAGTAGTTGTAGGCAATAAATGGTGACTCACCACCTTTAGATAAGGGAGTTTGTATAAACGGCAAGCTGGGTCAGTAAGGTCAAAAACTCAAGTGACATTTGAAAAAGGCCCAGGCCCAGGCGGAAGGATTTGGATATTTGAGAGTCAGGCAGCTGTAGAAAATCAAACTTTACTTTACAATGAAGATAACTTGTTTTGTGGAATCATTGTTTTTTGGCTCATTGTTTGTTAGATGGTCTCCTCTCACACAGACACTAAGTAGGAGTCACCCTTTGTGCTCAGCCTTGTGGGGATCACAGGATTCTATATTCTCCATATGGTGTCACATCTTAAAGTGCTCTCTTTTCGGAGAGGAAGCATTAGAAGACTATTGTACCGTTTTTTATTTCATTTATCCCCTTTTTATACTCTTGCTCCCTTTTGTTTTTTAAGGCTAATTAAAATACTCAAAGAACTCCAAAACATAGGCAATCTCTAGTTTTCTAATTTTAACTAAAACTTCTGTCATGTAGTATTCTTTTAAAAAAATCCTATGCGGGTGGGGTGGGATATTACTCAATTACCTCTCCCAGGCTTTTAGAAACATATGAATGATGTAGATAATGAAAACAGGCAGAAACTTTCAACACAATTGGAACATACCAACAAGTTTTTTCCAATTTTGTAAATTCAAAATTTCAAAAGACTAAAAATTTACAAGTTATTTTGGGGGTGAAGAATAGAGATTGTTACTGTCAGAGAACGAAAGTATGAATCAATCCTCAGTTATGTTTGTACACGTGTCCTTGTTTCCTGGAGCTAAGCAATCTGGCTGATTAACAATTTTCAGGCCCCAAATGGTTTAGGAGGAGGTGAATGTGGGCTTAGTAGCTTAGCTGTCACCCAAGCGCCAGAAAATTTATTTGAACCAGGCATCCCTTTCACTAGGGGGTTGATGTCTCCACAAGGGCTGACAAAAGGTCTGGCAGCCCTTTAGTTGTTGGCCTCTATGACAGAGAATGCCTGGCATGTGGACCCTGAGTGAGTGAAAGGAACCTTCTCAGACTCCTGGAGTCAAAGTGGTAAGATGCCTTGTGGACTCACCAGTCAATGCCTAGTGGAGAGACTCCTGTATAAGATGCCTTTAGTCCCTATTATTGCACGTATATGGGCTTAGGTCAGGGAATGGCTAGACAGGGTGTGTCCAGGGAACATCTAAACTCTAATCTTAAGGTTGTGGTGATTTCAGCCCTGGAGGAGTGAGGGGAGGGGGGTAAGATGAGGACTGCTTAAAATTTTTCTACTTCCTTCCAATACAACAGATAAACAGCAACCTTTGCTATAAAGATCCTGGCCTAGCAGGAAGTTATTAGTTGATATGTAAGAAATTAGTAGGGTTTTCAAAAAGAGTTCGAGGTAATCATGGTCAAAATTTTAAACTGTATGAGAATGGAATATATGAAAATTAGGGGCGATATGTAATGATAAAACTCTTTTCTCTGTGCTGATATACAGTGGTAGCTGGAAACAATAGTTAGTATTACTCAATAAGATGGCATGATGAAAAGGTGTGATTTTTTTTAGAAATCAAAGCAACATTCCTGCCCTCCAGGCCATCATCACTTGCAGTATTACTCTTTACCTACTTCCTAGAACAGCCAGGTAATGAGGGACAGCAGATAGTGAGCCACCTTTGTCTTTAGGCTAAGATTCCTACCAGGATGTTCAAAATGTGTGAGAATCTTTTCAAGGAACCCATTGTTTCAAGTGAACTAGTGTAGCCCCTCAAACAGTTAATCAGTAAGTTTTATAATCAGGCTGTTGAAGTAAATGTTTACTTCTGGTTGTTGCTGGCAGGGGGAGGGAAGGTAGGCTGTTATAAACAATTTATATAAACTCCTTGCATCTCAACTGTATTTCAATCCTTTCTTTAAAGAGCTCAATGGATCTTAAGTATCTTTACAATGTTCTGTGACATAGAACCAACTGTTACTATCTCCACTTATAAACAGGGAATTTTAAGTTACTTGCTTTTAGTTGTACAGAATTTTAATGGGCAGGCTGGCTTCCTCCTTTCTACTGGCCTCTGTTGTTTAAATGGTGGTTTTTCTGAAATTGTTATTTATCAAAACCTTGGAGGGATTATTATCATAATTTTTAATGTAAGGACAAAAACCATCATTCCTCTAGAACTTTTTCTGGGTAGCTCCAAATATTTGGTAAATATTAATTCTTTCCTTCCACAGATGTAGTCAATCTAATTTCTATGTAGCCCATCAGGTAAGGTCCATGTGTCTAGAGTTGCCATTTGTGTCATTTAAAAAAGGTATTTGCATTGAATACATCATTGGAAAAACAAAATCCGATCATTCTATTTCCAGTCTCAATTTTGTCAACAAGCACATATTTTCCACCTAATATTCCTTCTTCACCATTTCCAATTTTTTAAATTCCAGTCACCAATTATTAACACATGCGGATTACAAGTTTGGTCAATTTTGGGCTGCAAGATTTGGTAAAAGTTTTCAATTCCTTCCTCTTTGGCTCTAGATGTAGAAGTATATATTTTAATAATAGTCTTCCTCATATGCATACATATGATATCCTATCAATCAACATGGTTGTACGAGCAAAGCAAGGGGAAAATACATGGTTTAAAATTAAAAAGAGTGAATCAGGGTTGTATTCTCTCTTCATATCTATTCAATTTGTATGCTGAGCCAATTATTCAAGAAGGTAGACTCTGTGAAGAGGAATAGGCATCAGCATTGAAGGGAGACTCATCAATAACCTGCGTTATGCAAATAACAAAGCTTGCTTACTTAAAGGGAGTAGGATTTTTTGAGTTCTGCAGTTGTTGCAGAAAATCAAAGAATAAAGCCTTCAATATGGACTGTATCCCAATTTCAAGAAAACAAAGATTTTTACCACTGGTCCTATAGGCAACATCATGACAGATAGAAGACTGAAACTGTCAACAACTTCATCTTATTTGGATCCACAATTAAAACAGTCAGGAAAGTGGGGACATATTGCACTGGGAGAGTCTTCAGTTAGGGATCTCTTCAAATTTTTGAGGAATAATATTGTCAGTTTGAGGACTAAGGTAAGCCTGATTCAAACTATGGTCTTTCTGATCACTTGTTATGCATCTGAGAACTGGACAATGAATAAGGATGACTGAAGATTTGATGCTTTAGGATTGTGTTGGAGAAGAGCACTGAACACCCCACAGACTGCCAAAAGAACAAATATGTCTTTGAGAGGATGCAGCCAGAGTTCTCTTTGAAGGCAAAGAGGATGAGGCTCTGTGTTACATACTTCAGGCATTTTGCCAGGAGGGACTATTCCTGGGGGGGGGGGTGTGAAACTTGGAAAGGTGGGGTGTTAGTGAAGGAGAGGAGGACCCTTGACCAGGTGGACTGCCACAGTGACTGTCACAATGGGCTCCACTGTGTCAGGAAGTGTGAAGATAACACAGGATAGATCAAGGTTCAGGTCTGTTCATAGGGTCATTATAAGTCATACTTGACAGTACCTAACAACAACATTAATTCCTTAATTGTTTATGTAAGTTCTTATAAGGAAGCTTCTCCTTTTCACATGAATGAACTGAGACCAGTTTATTGGTTCACAAAATGACTACAAGGGTGTAAGAGTTGGTAACAGGAAAACTAGGAGGAAAAATTTGTTTAAGCCACAGACTCTTCTTTAAGAACATGCAGGTAAGAAAAGATGTGACACCTGATAGCCAGCTTGTAGCTGGCACAATATATGGTTTTTCTGGTTAAAGAGCCAACTGTAAACAATAAATACCACAGATTAATCTACCGAGGCAATCACGAGGTTGAATTTAGGAAGATGAATAAAAGATTAATTAGCAGATGGGTTCTAAAATGTTAAACTTTAGAATAGTAAGAATGGTAAAAATAAATATTAATGAGGATAGAAACTTATTTCTTGAGGGAAGACATTATTTTCTGTTCAACAAAAGAATTAAGTCTATATAACATTATGACTACTGAACGTATAAAGAAATTCAGATATACCCTTCCACAAGAACAGAAGCAAGGAAAAGTGTGTGTGTGTGTGTGTGTGTGTGTGTGTGTGTGTGAAATTCAAGTCAACATGAAAATCTAGGTTTACTACCAAAAAAATGAAGGCATGACTATATTTCAAAGTATGTTTATTTTATAAAAGGAGGTTGTTGTTGTTATGTGCTGTTAAGTCGCCAGAAACTCATAGCATAGTAGCTCTGAATCTTGTCCTATCCTGAGCCAATCTCACTATCTTGACACACCTAACCTCAATACCCCAGTTATTCCAATTCATTCAGAGGCTTCCTATCCTGTATGGTCCCTCTATCCTTCCATGTATGGTGTCCTTTTCCAAGAACTGGTCCCTCTTGGCAACATGCCCAAAGTACATCAGAGCTTCAAAATCCTTGCCTCCAAGGAGAAATGTGATTTTACCCTCTCCAGGACAAACCTGTCTGTTCTTTTGGCATTACACGGAATGTGCAGACCTCTTCTCCAGCACTCAAACTCAACTCAAAGGCATCAATTCTTCTTCTGTCATCCTTTTTCTATATGCAGCTCTCTGATATGTAGCATGCGAT